GTTTAACCAGACTTCCCTGGTGGCTCAGATGGTAAAGGATCTGCCTGCAATTCAGGATACAGGGGAGGCATGTGTTCAATCCTTGGATCAGGGAGATCCCCAAGAAAAGGAAATATCAACCCACTACAGTATTCTTGCCTGGAAAATTCCATAGACAGAGAAGCCTGGTGGGCAACAGTCCACGGGGTCACAGACTCCCAGATGACTCAGCACACACACATACACACACACACACACAGAGTGTTGCCTGAATTGTGACAAACACAGTGTTTGGGTTGATGTTACATGGGCCTTACTTAGGTGCCTTCCAAGATTTCTGAACTTTGGTTTGCTTTCTAAACTGCCCCTCAAGGTGTGGGCTGCTTGGCTAGTTACTGACATCCTACCTGTTCCTGATCTCTAGCAACGACAACACTCCAGGCTCCTGGCTGGACAACCAGGATGACTCAGCGCTTCCAGACAATTTGCTGCATATGCTGCTCCTGACATCTATCTGGTGGCCTCTCTTCGTGAATCTGGCATTGACAAGATCCAAGGTGCCAAGAAAGAAATCAGACAGAAAGAGAAGGTCATACCCTAAAAGAAGGTCTATGGAGCCTATAGGAAGCTCCAAGTTTAAATCTGCAAATCTCTGTGGGATTTTCCTTCTTCATGGCTGAGTCCAGAAAAGAAAGTTGACTGAAAGCTGGAGACCACCCCTTGACAAAATATTTTTTTAGATGAAAGTTCTCAACTATTCCTGTTTTTTTGGCTTTTAGCTATGTGATATTTCAGAGATTTCTTGTTCTTAAAATCTGTTAGCAATCCCCAAATCTACAAACAGGCTTTAGAAGATGGGGGTGGGGGGAGGCAGCGAGAAAGATTGTTTCAGGAGCAATCCCTCTGAAAGGAAAAGCCGAAACCTAAATTGGATACAGCTGAAAATATCTCAATCCTGCATGATTAGTCTTGACACAAGCCCTGCAGCAGAAGCATTCTGTGCGTTAAAGGAATTACTCCAAAGGTTTTTCTTTTCTTATTGCCCACTTATTTTTCTGAAAAGCCATCTTCTGCAATTCTGTGTTTTACACTAATGCAAAGCCTTCTGGGGCTATTGTCCTATATGGATTCCAACAAGAGACATTTTCCTGGAGGCCATGATTAAGCAGACTCCCTGGAACTTTGGCTTACCTGAGCCGGCATGAGGCATCAACACTTCAGGAATACTCAGCCCCAGCCAAGGAGCTCTGAGGGACCACAGTGAGACAAAAAATCAGCAACATGGAAACTGAATAGGGCCAATCGCAACATTGCTTTGTCCTCCAGGGAGCAGCCTTGATTTCCTATTTCACCTCTTTGGGTTTGTAATGATCTAATACCCAAACCGGAGCTTCCGTGGAAGCTCAGATGGTAAAGCATCTGCCTACAATGAGGGAGACCCAGGGTCGGGAAGATCCCCTGGTGAAGGCAATGGCAACCCACTCCAGTATTCTTGCCTGGAAAATCCCATGGACGGAGGATCCTGGTAGGCTACAGTCCATGGGGTTGCAAAGAGTCGGACATGATTGAGCGACTTTACTTTTTTTTACTTTAATACCCAAACCATCACCACTTCCTCCTTGCAGTTCCTCAAATTTTAGAGCTTTGCAGACAGGGGTGTTGTTTGCTGGATTCTGATCCAAGTCAACGGGATAATCTGTCTACTCTCATTCTTAAGAATCTCTGTTCTCACCTCTGTTTGGATGTCAATTTTCAGATTTACCAAACAGCAGCAAGCTGAAAATGGGTTTGAATAGAAAATGAAAGAAATGGAACTTCAGTTAATCAGGATGTTTGCTCTTTTTTTTTTTTTTTTTTGCTCTTATTTTTAAAAAGGCTTATCATACTGGATGACTTAAAACCACATGGATCATGGGACATCAACAAAAGAAGGGACAGTATTTGGCAATCCAGTCAAATTCAAACCCCTCTACAGGGCCCCCCAAAATGCTGGTTCACATCTTCCAAACACCAAAAAAATTCACATTATAAAACCAGCCAGATCTAATCTGAGCTTTCCTAGTTGTTCCAGCAATCCATAGTTATTGTACTCTGCCAAGAGGACTTTTCCTCAGGCACAGTCTTCAGGAGAATCATATAATCTATTGGCATAATGGTCCTTTTTCAAGAGAAGTATTTCATTTTAATAAAAATGTGTACCACCATATTTAATCAATCAGGCTGATTGACAACAGCAATCGCTGAGTCTTGCAGCAGATGCTGCTGCTACCTCATTCTTATTCCAGTTTCGTTTCTCAATCAAATCCATGTGTAAAAAACATAATGTGCTGCCAACACAATGTAATAAAACCTCAACTGAAATGCAGACCAGCACGACAGGAACTGATAACTCCAAGTGTGGGAAAAGTTAACTTCAGAAAAATCACTTCTGACACCCAAGTGCTCAAGGTTTATGGACAAGAGATGCATCATCTCACTAGAGCTAACGTGAATAGACCAAATTCATGGATTTGTCCTGAAACAGAAAATAATAATCTCTAAAGCAACATTTCCCAAACGCTGGCAGAAAAAGCCTTTTTAAGCAGCCCAGAAATCATCCTTAAAATTGGCTGATTTTGTTTGAGATGCACCATTTGTGTCACAGAGCAGTAAATTAGTACTTGAGCAGCATTTTTTTTTTTTACGGTGGTGCAGACTGGTTAAAGATGATGTATCACTGGTTGTCACAGATTGAACCAGCAGTTTTCAAAGTTAATGATTCATAAAGGAATAAAGGTAACCTAATTACAGCAGTACCAGGACAGAACCCAGTTACTGCACTCAAGTTCTGAGCTCCAAATTTCAGACTGGGAGAATTGTGCATACTTCTGTGGGACTTAATTCATGCAAAAGGGTGAGTTAGGGAGCAGACTTATAAGTGCCTAGAAAGGGAGATAGAGCTGCTGTAGTTATTATAGTAATTATACTATGAAATCTGTGATTATACCATGTTGACTGGTGTTCTCCAAAATTTACGTTCCCCCAGAACCTCATCATGTGACCTTACTTGGAAATAAGGTCTTTGTAAATGTAATTAGTGCCCTTATAAGACTGCCTTATAAGGACTGGTGCCCTTATAAGAAAGCCAAGTGAATACACAGACATATATACAAAATGCAGTGGGAAGACAGACTTGTCAAGACAGAGACAGGAGTTAGAGTGACGCAAGTTACAAGCCAAGGAGATTCAGGGCCTTCAGGCACCACCGGAAAGAAGCAAAGCATGTGTGGCAAAATGCAGCGATGCCAACATTTGAACAATAGTTGGCAGTAATTTCTTCCAAGAAGTTCATTCACAGTTGGACATAATATGACCAAATAGTGTCACAAAAGGATCTGGCTTCACAGAATGGCTGTAGTCACAAGTAACATTTAGCAATGAAATACAGGAAGTCAATTTTTTTTCAAGGTGGCACTTAATATAGGATTTGTTCCAATCAAAAATTAGGAAAGTCTACAAAATCTTTCTGCAGGAGACACTTCCACAAGAAAACCCCTACAGACAGTTGTAGCAGGCCACTGGGTTTATAGAATTTGTGCAGTTGTTATGTGCCAAACTGATTGGGGTAATCACAGCTAGAGCTCTAGAACACAGCTGACAGAGATGCACTGTCAATAACAATCTCAAGCAACTGAACCAGAGTGAGAAGCCTGCACGGTTAGCACATCAACCTTTGCAGAAGGATGTGACCAGCCCACTGTGAACTGACCTAGATCCATGTGGGATGTAGAATAAAATTCAGGAGAGGCCCAGTCCTGAAGAGTTACACAGGATATAGTAAGCCATCATGGAACCCTAGGACCCTGCTGTGGTTACATTTGCAAATTGTTACTGCACATGCATACCTGTCTCAAGCTTATCGTTGGTAACCTATCCAGGGTTCCTTTTGCACTGTGGGTTTGGTTCCTCTCAACTCAGTATCTCTTGACTTTATGAGGTCCTCAGAAAAGAAGCATTTTTGATGCAGTGAAATAAAAACATCTGGTCCACAATCCAGATGAAAACCAGAGTCAAGAAACGTACAACTCAAGTACACATGCCTTTTATAGAAGAACGCAGCCTAAATGAGAACTTTTGTTGAGTCTGGGAGCAGGAATATGATTCTCTTGAAAAGAGAATGGCTCCATCATCCATCAGGGAAATCTATAAATCTACAACTGATTTGTAGTCCCCCTTTCCCTTGTCTGATCACACAGAAAAATGGACTTCAATATTTATAAGGATTTACATTCTCCCAACTCAAAACGCATTATGCATAACCCACTCCAGACGAACACTTACCTGGCCACTGAAGAGGGTACTGTGGACTTTCTGAGACATTTGACAGTAATCATTAGCTTCAACCCCTTTCTGGGTCATCACTGTCCATAGTGTTCAGAATAAGTATCTAAAGACTGCCTCAGCTCCCTTCTGGGACCAATGGAAAGCAAAGGATCCGTCTATAAAGAGCTTTGAATGCACAAAGCAACAGGGTTTTGAAATACATTTTGGCTGTTGTATGCCTAAGGCCAGAGGCACCAGACCTCCATAGTAACTGGATGGTAACCAGGTCATATACCTTCCAATGTCTTGGATCTCACAGACGTGTTATGAGGGCACTGGTTACTTACTGGATATAGGGGTGATTTTTACACAATTAGGCTCTTTGGTTAGCATTTATTTGCCAGTCTCAGTCCTCAGGCTCTTAATTATTACTATAACCAGCACATAGAGTTTTCTCAACCCCCTCCCCCACCAGCACAAACACACATTGTGTTCAGAAATGCCTGGAATCATTTGTTGGCCCCTTGTCCCTCTCATTGATCATATATCCATTTATGTCCCACATTTCAGGAATTAGAGTGGCTTAACCAAGATCTTCAGAGAAGGCAATGGCACCCCACTCCAGTACTCTTGCCTGGAAAATCCCATGGACGGAGGAGCCTGGTAGGCTGCAGTCCATGGGGTCTCGAAGAGTCAGACACGACTGAGCGACTTCACTTTCACTTTTCACTTTCATGCATTGCAGAAGGAAATGGCAACCCACTCCAGTGTTCTTGCCTGGAGAATCCCAGAGACAGGGGAGCCTTGGTGGGCTGCCGTCTATGGGGTTGCACAGAGTCAGGCACGACTGAAGCGACGTAGCAGCACCAGCAGCCAAGACCTTTGACTTTCGACACACAGCTGATGGGAGAAGGCTCTGCCTCCACGTCCCACTTTTGCCCAAAGTTTTGACAACCCGAAAGGGATGCCCAAACTTGTAGAAAGAGGAAGAGCCAAGAGCCTTTGTCCTGAGTGGACCTCAGTAGGAAGGGGGAAGGTCTCATTCAGCAGCCAACGCGATAAAAGCTAGAGTCAGAGGCTTAATGGATAGCCCTAGGTAGAAGAGGACTAAGCATCCTAGCCACACAGGAACGTCCAGGACACTAGAAAGCCAGCAACCTCCTAAGAATGCACGAACTTGGTGCTCCCCACCTCTCACCTTCCAACACGTGGGTGGTATGTCAGCAGGGCATAAGCACGAGATTTGCTCTGCACCCCTCATCAAGGACATGCATGAGAGCTGTGCCCTGCCACCCAGACACTGCCTAGGGACACCTCCTGATGCCTAGAAGGATTTTGTCAACCAAGAATGAGAAGCAGAGAGCTATGGAGAGACTACTTACTAGACTAGGATCCAGGAAACAAATCACCTAGTTAATCACTCTGGTAAAGTGCCTTAATTTTCTCATATATAAAACAGAAGCAACACTTGTCCAGATAGGACTGTGAGATGGAAGAACTCAGCCCTGGGGTTTGACAGCCTTGATTTTGCAAGTTAGCTCTGCTATTTCCTAGCTCAGTATCTTGGACATTTAATTCTGAGTTGTAGTTTCCTCGTCTGTGAAAATGAGGGTCATAACTGAATATAATGAATCACATGTATGAAGTCTCTGGCTTAGAGAAGTTTTAGAGGCATCAAGGGACAAACCTTAAGGTGACTGTCTCAGGGTATGAACCGCAGACTGCCACACTGACTTTTCAGGGGCTTCTACTTCAAGATGGCCAACCTTCAAGAATGGGACTTCCTTCCTTCCCACGATCCCTTCAAAATGACAGAAGATTTTTTTTTTAATCATAAAATAAATAATTGTTGTTGTTCGGTTGCTCACTCATGTCCGACTCTATGCAACCCCATGAACTGCAACACGCCAGGCTTCCCTGTACTTCACCATCTCCTGGAGCTTGTTCAAACTCATGTCCATTGAGTTGATGATGCCATCCAACCATCTCGTCCTCTGTGGCTATAAATAATAAAATAAATAACAGTGAAGAGAATAAAAGGGATGGTGTCTTTGAAAAAGAAATTTTAACAGATTTCAGGAAAACAAAACTACAGCAAATGTCAATACACTAACAGGCAGACCCAAATGAAGGTGTCCACAGCCCAAAATACACAGGATGGGTGAGGATGGAGGAAGGCGTGCATCTTCCAGGCAGGACCCTGGGCTTAACTCACCCACCCCCCAGAAAGCAAGTTTTCCCTCTAAAGGAATTTAATTTCTTTATTTGGGGAAGAACAGGACAGGTGACAAATGTGTTGACATCCCAGAGTCAGGCCTTCTTGTTTAGGGATACATTGGAAGGAAGCTTGCTTGTATGACTTGCTTCCATACACAGAAACTGATAGCATTTCTGCTCCACATTCTTAAAAATGAGTTGACAGCTAAACATGGACAAACATTTGAGGGGAAAAAAAGAGACAAGTACCTCATAAAGCATGATTTCTATTTGTGCATGCTCAGTTACTTTAGTAGTGTCCAGCTCTTTGCAACCCTATGGACTGTATAGCCTACCAGGCTCCTCTGTCCATGGGATTCTCCAGGAAAAAATACTGGAGTGGATTGCCATGCCCTCCTCCAGGAGATTTTCCCCACCCAGGGATCAGACTCGAGTCTTTTAGGTCTCCTTCATTGGCAAGTGGGATCTTTACTGCTAGCGCCACCTGGGAAGCCCCTATTCCTACTTATTCATCTTCAAATATTATCTGACAACTATTGATGAACAGCTATTTGAGAAAAAATTTTTTAAAATACACCATAAGAGACAGAATTCAAACAGCCAGAGACTTGAAAACACTTTATATCCATAAGGTGAAATCAGAAAATGAGGATTTTTTTAAATTAAAATGAGAATAGCAAATATTCCTGGGAAATTAAATCATCAAAATTTTTTTTTAAAAAATTAATAGAAATACTAGAAGATATAGTTGAGAAAGCTTCCTATAACAGTAAACAAAACAACAAAAGAAGGATAATAAAAGATTGAAAAAGAGAAATGAAGCATAAATTCAGGAGGTATAATAGCCAATTAAGAAAATTTACAAAAGGGTAAGGGGAAAATTAGGGAAGGTTATGAAATAAACAATAAAGAAAATTCCAAAGACTGAAGAGAAACACAAATATTAATCAGAATTAATTAAAAGAATGAAAACCTTGATGTATCATGCTGAACTATCATATCACCCAGGATAACATTCTTTAGACTGCAGGGTCAAGGAACTGTAAACAGGTAATTTTAAGGGGATTTGAATCAAAATGGATTAGACTACTTATCAGCAACCAAGAACACTAGACCATAATCAAGGCTTCAAAATACGAAGGTAAAAACTTTGGACCTGGAGTTCTATATCTAGTTTCAGTTCAGTTCAGTAACTCAATCTTGTCCAACTCTGCAACCCCATGGACTGCAGCATGCCAGGCTTCCCTGTCCATCACCAACTCCCAGAGTTTTACCCAGATTCATGTCCACTGAGTCGGTGATGCCATCCAACCATCTCATCCTCTGTCGTCCCCTTCTCCTACCTTCAGTCTTTCCCAGCATTAGGGTCTTTTCCAATGAGCCAGTTCTTCGCATCAGGTGGCCAAAGTATTGGAGCTTCAGCTTCAGCATCAGTGCTTCCAATGAATATTCAGGACTGATTTGCTTTAGGATGGACTGGTTGGATCTCCTTGCTGTCCAAGGGACTCTCAAGAGGCTTCTCCAACACCACAGTTCAAAAGCATCAATTCTTCGGCACTCAGTTTTCTTTATAGTCCAACTCTCATATCCATACACTACTACTGAGAAACCGTAGCTTTGACTAGATAGATCTTTGTTGGCAAAGTACAGTCTCTGTTTTTTAATCTGCTGTCTAGGTTGGTCATAACTTTTACTCCAAGGAGCAAGTGTCTTTTAATTTCATGGCTGCAGTCACCATCTGCAGTGATTTTGGAGACCCCAAAAATAAAGTCTGACACTGTTTCCACTGTTTCCTCATCTATTTGCCATGAAGTGATGCGACCAGATGCCATGATATTAGTTTTCTGAATGTGGAGTTTTAAACCAGCTTTTTCACTCTCCTCTTTCACTTTCATCAAGGCTCTTTAGTTCTTCCTCACTTTCTGCCATAAGGGTGGTGTCATCTGTGTATCTGAGGTTATTGATATTTCTCCTGGCAACTCCTGCAGCTCAATTCCAGAAAAATTAATGACCCAATCAAAAAATAGGCCAAAGATCTAAACAGACATTTCTCCAAGGAAGACATACAGATGGCTAACAAACACATGAAAAGATGCTCAACATCATTCATTATCAGAGAAATGCAAATCAAAACCACAATGAGGTACCATTACATGCCAGTCAGAAAGGATGCTATCCAAAAGTCTACAGGCAATAAATGCTGGAAAGGGTATGGAGAAAAGGGAACCCTCTTACACTGTTGGTGGAAATGCAAACTAGTACAGCCACTATGGAGAATAGTGTGGAGATTCCTTAAAAAACTGGAAATAGAACTGCCATATGACCCAGCAATCGCACCCCTGGGCATACACACTGAGGAAACCAGAACTGAAAGAGACACGTGTACCCCAATGTTCACTGCAGCACTGTTTACAATAGCCAGGACATGGAAGCAACCTAGATGCCCATCAGCAGACGAATGGATAAGAAAGCTATGGTACATATACACAATGGAATATTACTCAGCCATTAAAAAGAATACATTTGAATTAGTTCTAATGAGATGGATAAAACTGGAGTACATTATACAGAGTGAAGTAAGCCAGAAAGATAAACACCAATACAGTATATTAACGCATATATATGGAATTTAGAAAGATGGTAACGATAATGCTATATGCAAGACAGAAAAAGAGACACAGATGTACAGAATAGACTCTTGGACTCTATGGGAGAATGAGAGGGTGGGATGATCTGAGAGAACAGCATCAAAACATGTATATTATCAAGTGTGAAACCGATCGCCAGTCCAGGTTGGATGCATGAGACAAGTGCTCGGGGCTGGTGCACTAGGATGACCCAGAGGGATGGGATGGGGAGGGAGGTGGGAGGAGGGTTCAGGATGGGGAGCACATGTAAATCTATGGCTGATTCATGTCAATATATGGCAAAAACCACTACAATATTGTAAAGTAATTAGCCTCCAACTAATAAAAATAAATGAAAAAAAAAAAAAAGCAAGAAAGGTCCGGAAAAACATCTATTTCTACTTTATTGACTATGCCAAAGCCTTTGATTGTGTGGATCACAATAAACTGTGGAAAATTCTTAAAGCGATGGGAATACCAGACCACCTGACCTGCCTCTTGAGAAACCTATAAGAAGGTCAGGAAGCAACAGTTAGAACTGGACATGGAACAACAGACTGGTTCCAAATAGGAAAAGGAGTACATCAAGGCTGTATACTGTCACCCTGCTTATTTAAGTAATATGCAGAGTACATCATGAGAAACGCTGAGCTGGAAGAAGCACTAGCTGGAATCAAGATTGCCGGGAGAAATATCAATAACTTCAGATATGCAGATGACACCACCCTTATGGCAGACAGTGAAGAGGAACTAAAAAGCCTCTTGATGAAAGTGAAAGAGTGAAAAAGTTGGCTTAAAGCTCAACATTCAGAAAACTAAGATCATGACATCTGGTCCCATCACTTCATGGCAAATAGATGGGGAAACAGTGGAAACAGTGTCAGACTTTATTTTGGGGGGCTCCAAAATCACTGCAGATGGTGATTTCAGCCATGAAATTAAAAGACGCTTACTCCTTGGAAGGAAAGTTATGACCAACCTAAATAGCATATTAAAAAGCAGAGACATTACTTTGCCATCAATGGTCCATCTAGACAAGGCTATGGTTTTTCCAGTGGTCATGTATGGATGTAAGAGTTGGACTGTGAAGAAAGCTGAGCGCTGAAAAACTGATGCTTTTGAACTATGGTGTTGGAGAAGACTCTTGAGTGTCCCTTGGACTGAAAGGAGATCCAACCAATCCATCCTAGAAGAGATCA